ACCCTCACCCTAACCAAACCTAAGCCTAACCCTAACACTGACCCTAAACCTAACCCTACCCTAACCCTGACCCTGACCCCAACACTGACCCTGACCCTAACCCTCACCCTCAACCGAACCCTCAACCTAACCCTAACCCTGACCCTGACCCTAACCCTAAACCAAACCCTAACCCTTACCCTAACCCCAACGCTAACCCTAACTCTAACCCTAACCCCAACCCTAACCCTACCTTAACCCTAACCCTAACCCTTACCCTAACCTCAACCCTCACCCTAACCCTTACCCTAACCCTAATCCAAACCCTTATCCTAACCCCAACGCTAACCCTAACCCTAACCCCAACCCTAAACGATACTCTAACCCTTACCCTAACCCTACCGTAACCCTTACCCTAACCCCAACCTTAACCCTAACCCTCACCCTCACCCCCACCCTCACCCTGAGCCCTCTGCCCTTAACCCTGAGCCCCCCATCCCACCCTGCCCCCTCAGCCCATCCTCTCCCCACCCCACCTCACGATGCTACAATGGGCCAAAGCTCCGTTTCCTGAAATCGCTACCAAATTCTGCAACCGAGCGGATGGTCCCCGACATTGTGAAACATCCCAGGCCTTCCCTGGCTGTTCCGTGCACCGGAGCATTGCCTTGTGAAACCTGCATCTCCCTGACAACGAGGGCTGGGCTGTGCCCCCCCCCCCAACAGCTCCCATGGCACCGTTGCTGCCCCATGGCTGCTCATTAGGAGCTCGGTGGCACCACTTTGGCTCTCATTTGACATTGGAGATGGGGGCCGTGCTCAGCAGGTTGGACAGACCCAGCCTCTGCGGCTGAATCAGCAGGGATGGGGGGAGGAGGAGAAGGGGGGGGCTGTCATAAAGCTGGAAAATCTTGTTTTGCTCTTCTCTGCTCCCAACCTGCCTGCACCCAGCCTCTGCGGCACCTGGAGTCAACAAGGCACAATGCCACCAAGGGAGGACATGCATTAAAACAACAACAACAACAAAAACCCGAAGCAAAAAAATCCACCTTTCAGCCTCACCCAACCCCTGGGGCAAAACTGGGGTGGGGAGAAACAGACCCAAAGAGCCACAGTTGGAGCCGTGCAGGGCTGGGAGGCTGCCCGTGCTGCTTGCCTTTCCTGGAGAGCTGCTTGCTGCATTGTCTGTGTCGCACAGATGGCCCCATCAATGTGGAGCAGTGGGATTTTGGGATGCTTCTGGCTGCACCAGGTCCACCAGGACAGCAGTGCTATGGGTGCGGTGGAGGAGCGCCCTTGGAGAGGGGAATAAAACAGAGGGAAGCTGCCAAAATGGGTGGGTTTAGCAAGGATGGCCCTGATGGCAGAGGGATGCTGGCTATGGGGACAAGGCCACCTCCCTGGCACCCAGAGGACATTGCAGGAAAAGCCACAGAGACCCCTTTTAAGGAACTACACCCCCAAGCCTTAAGCAACACACCACGATGTCATGACGATGGACCGTAATGGGATGAAACAGAGGCATTTCACAAGCAGGGGCTGGGGCTGGCGGGCAGCCTATAAGAGATGCTGCGCTCCAGACCAGCTGCAGTTCAACCTGAGACGGTCATCTCTGCTTCTCCAACATGAGCAAGGCAAGTCAGAGGGTGGTGGTGGGGGTTCTAAGGTCTCCATGCTCTTTTCCAGGTGCAGGTTGAGCCTGCAGAGGGATGGGCAGCTCCTCCTTGCCCTGTGAGCCTCCACATGTTCCAGCAGAGGACGGAGCGCCGATGGAGATGGGAATGGAACCCATGGGGGAGAGAGATGTGTCCTCATGGAAAAAAGCTGCCTGCAGCGTGGGATGGCCACCGAGGGGCTTGTGGGTTGTCAGATCTCAGGCTCAGCACCTGCGCTGCCACAGAGGCGTTGTGGGAGCCTTGCCCCAGCTGCAGAAGGCTCATTCTGGGGGGAAAAATCAGCTCTTAGACGTCATGTTTTGCTGCACAGCCCAGAGAGCAAAGGCTGCAACCTCCTCCAGCCTGCCTTGGTTTGGAGATTACCCAAGCAAACAGCTCAAATTTAGCCTGAAAACAGAACGACTAAGAGCCAGGCTTGCATCCCCACCTGCCTGCAGGGAGCTGTGCTGATGTGCAGCCACCTGCTGCAATCCTGACCTCCTTCTGTGCCTCTGCCTCTCCCAGGGCTGCCAGACCCAGGGGCCGCTCTCCGAGCTGGAGAAAGCCATAGACGTCATCATCGATGTCTTCCACCAGTTCTCGAGACGGGAGGGGGACAAAGACACCCTGACCAAGAAGGAGCTGAAGCTCCTGATTGAGAAGCAGCTTGCCAACTACCTGAAGGTGAGCAGAGCCGGGGGAGGGCTTCTTGTGCCCCAGGCTGGGAGGCCCTTGGGTTGAATCTCACTGCCCCACTGGTTTTTATCAGCCCAAGTGCCCTAGGGAGCAAATCCAGCCCAGCAGCCCCCTCCCAATGTGCTCCTGCCCCAGCTCTCCCCACCCAGCAGCATGAGATGCCATAAGGACAGATGAAGGGCAGCCACCCTGGAGCAGCAGCTGGGATCTCCAGCAGCCCAGGAGGGTCTCATTAAACCCGGGGGACCTCGGGGCTGTGACCAATGGCACTCTGCCTCTTCTCCTGCAGCACGTGAAGAATCAGGCATCTATCGACCAAATCTTCAGGGACCTCGATGGCAACAAGGACCAGCAGCTGAGTTTTGGTGAAGTGATGCTCCTGATCATGCGGGTGACGGCCGCCACTCACGAGCACCTCCACTTCTGTGAGGACCAACAGCACCAGCACCAGCACCAGCACAACCACTAAGGGGGGTTGAGCTGAAGGCAGCCACCCAGAGCTCTGAGCTCCTGCTTCCCCTTCCAACCCTCTGCCCCCCATCCCTCCCACCCCTCTCCTCCCCCCTCCCAACCCTCTGCTCCTCCATCCCGTCAAGTTTGATGGTTTTGCTGCCAAATAAAGATTTGCCCTGAGGCTGCCGAAGCTTTCTTGTTTCTGCCTGTTATTTCTCACCTCGTTCTCCCCTTCAGCGTGGCTTCAAACCAGCAATGTTAGACTTGGAGGCAGGCTGCAGGTTCCCAGAGGCAATACGGGTTTCTGGGAGAGCATTGCTCATTGCAGAGGGTTTCGCAGTGCCCCTTGCAACGTCCCCTACAGGTCAGAGCAGACCACAAAATCTGACCAACCTCCTCATTTCCAACTGGGAAACATCAATTTTGGGAGCGCTCTGCCCGTGTCCTCAAACCGGGCTGCAGTGGTGGGTGACAGAGATGGGGGGGGAAACCTTTTTTAGGACACTTTGGCTGCACAACCCCAATGCCTGGCTCCCAACATCTCGGGTTTGCACGGAGGCAGCAATGAATGGCTGCTTTCAGGGGGTTGGAAATGCCTGAGATGCCACTGCTCAGCTTCAAGCTGCTGATTTGAAAGGCTGATTTGCAAATGCCTTTCGGAGGAATAAAAAGGAACAGTTGTGATTTCCTAAGGGTGAGTGGAAGCCCTGAAATCACCCTGCTTGGTGAGGAAACTTGCCACCAGCTTCCCCAAAGCAGCAGCAGCCCCAGGGTAACACAAGACTGTTCCAAGTTTGCTTCACTGCTGCTGGTCAGGTTGCTTCAACTTCCTTTAGGGTTGATTTTGACATTTGAAACACGTCTAACACCTTCCTACAGGGTAATATCTTATGGGGTGAACATGGGATCTGCTCAGCTCTGCCCACAGGGTTGGGCGTCCCAGTGGAGCTGCACCCTCGCATCCAAAAATGAGCCTTGCATCCCAAGCTGGGTCACACATCCCATCCCATAGCACTGTAGGGTCTCCATAGCAGACGGAATCCCACGTGCAGGGGGAGAGCAGAGCTGATTCCTTGCCACCCCCCCC